TAAAAAAATGTGTGATTTATAAAACATTGCACTCTAAAATGCTTTAAAAGAAAAAAGAAAATCTGCGAATTATCAATTATATATACATATATATATTAGTGTGCAAAAATATATTAAAATGACTTCTTGTGCATATAATTTTGTAAATATCTGAATTTTTAGAATCTTAATAAACATTGTAAGATTTTTGCTTTGTAAAAATGATAAACGTATATATTACTTCTAATCTGTCAATAAGATAATTACCAATAGTTAACCTACGAAAAAAAGATTATTACATTTTATCTTCTTCACGAAAAAGCGATAACAGAAATAAAATTATCCATATTTTATTATACTCTAAATGACTTTAACCTTAATAATTAGAATACTATATCTAGCTAAATTACTATTCGTATCTCTAACACATGATAATATCATTTTTAATAACTTCCGGTAATTATTATACTGATACTAAAATACCTGCATCTAACCCGTAAAAGGATACTTAACTATTATAATACAAGTAAATTTAAAAAAGAGTAAAATATACTATATTATTTTATTAACTATAGACATTATAATACTCACATGAGCAAATCATGATTCAAAAATACTTATAAAATTATTAAATATTTAATAATGCTGTATGATATAAAAAATAAAGAATAACTAATCAAATCATAAAAGAATTTATTTAATTCAAAACTTAACTAATATAATCAAGTATTTTTTAACACATTACATAATGAAACTCAAAACACGGTGTATAGTATTCACTCGCACTTATGCTATGATGAATGGTATAACCAAACGATCAAGTATTTTATCTGTATATTGCAGTGATAGCTTTAAATCTAAAGCCTATATACGTGAGTATAAATATATAAATAATATATAAATAAATTAAAAATGAAAGTATAAACACCTCAAATTATGAAAAGTAGTCAAATCAAAAGCAAAATTTGCACAAAAATATTTCGTCCTCAAACTATACAGTACATTTATTACAACACATACATAAATAATAATAAACCAGTATGAAGAATTACCGTCTCTTAACGAATATATTTATGCCAAATAAAATGATATATCACTTACAAAATTCATGACGATAAGTATAATTTTATTTACAATATATAATATAAATGCATATATACGGGTATATATTCTTCAATCTGGACCAGAATGTAATTACACTATATATATGAGATTCAAAAATAATTACCCGTATATGATGACTATACAGAAATATTTAGATAAAACTATCATATTTATTCCTTCTCATTACCAGTGACATTTGTACCAGACTTATGTGACCTTAAAGCACTACGCAAGGAATGACCTATATAATCTTTTTCTTTTTTACCACCACCACGCACAACATTTTCTTGACGATTCTCAATTTTTACTTTATTTTCAATTTTATCATCTTGAATAACCTCACAAGAACTATTAATTCCAATGGACTTCGTATAATTATTAACAGTAGAACCAAAAACATCAATAGATTCGATAGATTCATTATAATCTTCAATTCTAACACACTTTGAAGAAGTGCTACCAGGCGATAACAAACCATCTGTAAAAACTGTTGAAGCTGATTCCTCAATTTTTGAAGTATCTTGAGAATTTCCATAAACATTTCGGTGAGTAAGAAGAAGTTTTGCACGAATTGTATTGACAGCTTCAGTAGAACACTAGAACCACTATCATCAGAAATTTTTCGCTTAAAACTACCAATATCAATGAAATTAATCTCTTTTGCGTAGATATAAAAATCATTATCAATGACTTCCATCTGACCAACGACGAATACAAGTGAATCATGTGGACGAATTGTGCTCTTCAAGTGTGCAAAACGTGAATTAGAATGTGGAAATGCAATCTTAGCTATAAAATTATGATCTTGAATAGCGTAATCATTAATTAACACATTGAAAATTGCATTCTCATCATTCTCCGGTACCTTTGGCAATTCTTGAGGAACTCCGATTAGAGAAATTTTTAATGGACATTTGTTTGACTGAACAACTCTGTTTAAAATTTCTATCTCAGTCGAAATTGAAACTGTCATCTAAAAATAAATAAAAGATAAGTACCTATAATGTAATATAATATCTTAAATAAATTCAATTAATCGCAACCAATACCTTTGGCCTTTTATTGCCTGCATAAAATCCAGGTATGATCTTACCACCCACAGAGTAAAAATGATCTCTCTCAAAAATAGCCTGGGTTTCAAGATCCCTATCATTAAAGTGAGTTGGCACGAATAGCACCATTTCGATTTCATTATCCTCGTGACCCACAGGATTTGCACCAATGGCCCATACGACGATCAGATTACTTTCTTCTTTTATTGTCTGATGAACAAACTTTATTCTCACAATAGTATTTGCGTAACATGGCATAATGCTTCTTTATGTGCGTACTGAATATACTGAACTCACAGATTATTATTTATTATATTGTTTTTTATTTTTTGAAATTTTTTTTTTGAATTATAAAAAAAAAACCAAGTCCTGATAAATACGCGCTTTTTATAATAAACAACTAATAATTATACCAACACAAAATCAATAAAAAATACTAGATACATTCAACGCGCTTAAAGCTCTTCACAACAAATTCAAATATGTAATTCTTACGATACCTATTCAAACAACAAAAAGACACATTTCTTGAAAATAAATATCATTAAAATTAACCGTATCTAGAAATAAAATGTAAAATGAATAACCATTAACAAATATTATAAAATAACGATAAATTATGATACAGTAATGAGAAATTCTCACGAAATTACTACACTATTTTATTTACCATGCTAAAACAATTAATATTACTGATTCTAATATCAAAATAGCTACATTATTAACACGATCATAAAACTCTAACAGAATTAAATAACGAACTACAAAATTACGTAAACATATACAATTTTCCTTTACTTTAATAATAACAACCATAATAATATAATTATTTCAACTAATTGTAAATAAATTTATGCATTATTTAACTTATACGCGGAACCACATTATTCAAATTAATTAAAAAAAATTATATATATATAAATTTTTTCGCACACCTTTATACGCTAACAAAATAAAATGTCGTACAATGCAATGGACAAAAAAATAAAAAAAAATTACACTTATAAATATAATATGCAAACAAATGAAAATTTCTTAACGATCATATTAGTACAAAGCAGATAAAATATAAACACTCAATAATATAAAACATTAGATAAAAAAAAAAACAAAAATTCGAACAAAGAAACAACAAATGAATTTTTTAAAAATTTTTTTTTATCGGTTATAATAATAATAGACGATTAAATAAAATATGATTATGTCACTAACCTTAATCAAATATTGTGAATAAAATACTCAAAATAATAACATTAAAACACTACTAAAATACGATTAATAAATGCGCTATAAGGTTAAAGTATAAACTCAGTTTATTTTTTATGGTATACGCTAAACCTACAGAAACCGATTAATGAATAATACAATATTGACTAAAATAAATCACAAATCACCTTACAAAGAAATAACATGTAGTGATACTAGACCACGCTACAAAATATGACAATTAGATAATAATTTATAATAAAAATCTACATTAGAGTTTATGTATTCAAATAGAACTATACACTATGCATATATTTAAAATTTTAAAAAAAACAACTAAAATATTACGCATGATAGTATAATCATATCTGACTTGCACCAAAACCAGTATCGATAATAGATAACATTAAGATCGATAGAACAATTAAGTATGCACAATAAATAGGACTTATAAATGATAATTAATAATAATAATAACGATCAAAAACTTTAAATTATTTAAGATAACAAAAATTTGTAATCAAATAATTGATTAATTAACAAATAATACAAACAACTAAATAAAACTGAATACCACTAATGCCACTAAATAAGATGGGTGGCGCTTCGCGCCACCCGTCGAACTAGTTTGATAAAATTTTAAAGCATCCCTTCCAAAAGCATGACCAGGGCAGGGCGGCCATTGATTTTACGGGTCATGTGGGTAGCGCTCAGGGCTTTAGACACTATATTAATATGCCAGTCATTTACTGTGCCAGAGATAATTGTTCGAAGTGCCATTTTTAATCCATCAAAATTAATAGTATTATATGTAATACAGATAAGAATGGCAATTATTGAATGGCCGACTATAGTGTCTGAAGCCCTGGTAACGCTACCAATATTCAATATGAGCAATATGCAGGGTCAAAATTTTTATAACGATAGCACTATAGATCCAATGCTGATTCGTTTGAAATAGATGGCTGCCCTGGTCGTGTCCCTTCCAAACTTATATCTAAAATTGACTTTTTAATAATCGCGTATTGTTGTACGTAGGTATGTCATAACAATTTCTAATAAAGTAAAAAAATCTTTAATACAACAAGGGGGCTGCTATAGTAGAAAATATTACGCGTATCGTACTCAATAATTATATTGTAAAAAACAATCCATGCGGTTGAATTACAGTTCATTTATTTATCACGATAATACAAAGTAATGAGCTATTAAATTTTAAATATTCTTATATTCTACTGAATCCGATTAAATAAAGAACTATTGAACAAAGTGATGTAATGCAAGTTTCAGTAAAACCAAATCAAATTCAAAATTGGAAAAAGCATTACAGTCAGACCTCTCTAAGTGCACGCCCTTGGACCACATTTTAATAACGCGCATTTAGAGAATAAAAAAATGCATTTATAGAGGTAAAGTTTATATTTGGACCAGAATCTAAATGTGCATTTAGAGAGGGTGCGCTTAAATGGGTCTGACCGTAATTTGATTTGTCAATAAAATCACGTTTTTGCACTATCACGTGATAATTGAAGTCGACTTGAAAGGACTCGACTAAAAGTCGCTCGGGGTCAGAAAATCCGAGTCGTTTAACCCCCTATAGCTATGTAACCCTAACCTAGCCCAGTGATTGTCATGTGATACTGTGATGATCACTGAGTTTAGTGTTCTTTAAATCTTCCCAGATTTGACACGGCAAACCCGATTTGTGTAATCAACGTGGGGGAGATAGACAAAACTTTGACACAGAATTTTTTCATGCATCTTGAATAAATTTTGCATATAACTTTAGTAATATATCTCGGTATTTGTATTATCAAAAAAAATTAGCTAGTATATCCATTAGACTAAACCTACATGATTTTAAACACTATATTATTATTTATGAGAACGCCCTATCTAATTTGATTATCCTCCTTACATAATTATGCAAATTTAAAATAGTTAAGTTTTATAATGAAAATAGCGAATAATTAAAAATTTTTAATTTTAAATATAAGAACAAATTGATTAATATCACATTTGATGTGGAAATTTAATTTTTTCGGAAATTTTGATACTATACTTTCTTTCTAGCATAAACTCGTACTTGTGTATTAAAAGTTTTTAATTTATTTAATTCTTCTCCCATCTTTTTAACCAAATTATCATATTCCATTCATTATACTTGCAAGTTTAGGTTTTAAAGTCATCACGGCAGTAGTGAAATTTTCAGATGACTAAATTATAACCAAATATTAGCATTTCTATTAATTATTGTTAATTAAATTTTGAAATAATTATTATTATTAAATCTGCTATGTTACCAATTTACGCAATTCTTCTTCATTTTCTGCATCAAGTTCTTTTTTTATCTCACAGTGAACATCATAAAGTTGTTTATTTTCTTCCAAATAATTTTGCAATTTGTAACATATATTTGAGTCCAAGCCACGTTCCTGAAACATAATCGTTACTGAGAAGCATACATAAAGTTAGATTACTATATTACAATAAATCTTTGACAAATGAATTATTAGCATCAGTAATCTTTGTAGTTGCAGGTCCCATATTATTAGGTTTAAAGTCAGGTTCTAACAACTATCAAATATATATATTTATTTAACTCATTTTTTACAGGTTTATAGCATTAATACGGTTGATTTAACATAGATAGAGCAAACCTCTAAATAACCATCAGGTTTTAGCACACGGATAAGCTCATTAATCACAGATGGCCATTTATTTTCAGGAATTCCAACATACAATATTCGTTGAAATACATAATCATACGTATTGTCATCAAATGGTAAACGTTCTAATACGTTTCCTTTAATAATCTCAGCATTACTAGGTTTAGTTTGAAATGAGTCAATTAGTGAAATGTCAATTCCAATAAATTTTGCTTTCGGATAATCAGCTGCCATTTCGAATAACCAAGAACCTGCGCCTGTCCTAAAGTATTTATTAATAAAGATGGTTATAATAATAATGGCAATAATAATAATATAATAATAATAATAAACTAATTCACATACCCTACGTCAAGAACCTTTGTACCTTCTTGTTCAGGAAGATGCCCAACTGGAGCGAAAAAGTTATTTTGCCAAATATTTTTTTGTATGTAATGTTGCAAATCTAATCTATCAGCTTCTTCATTATCACTAGGCAAAAAATATTTCGAATTTTTTACGTTGATATTTTCTACCATCTACGAATTTAGAAGTATTCTCTTTAGATAAATTATCACTTGCTGAATTTACTCCGTTAGATTGATTATTTTTGCTAATTTTACATCCCATTTTCATTAGAATTATTTTACTACTATTGTTGGCAATTGTTGGTATTTATTTGTTTCAACGTTGGTATTGTGAGGTCCGGAAATCGTGAATCGGAAATTGCTGCGCCCGCTCACGTTGACACGGTTAGGACGATCTATTACTTAAAAAGGAGTTGCCAGCGATATATTGAATATATTGAATATATCCCAGATAACTAATATAACGAAGATAATAGATAAAACCAATTTAATAGTTATAGAAGATATAATAGTTTTATTCGTTATAATCGATTTAATCATTTTAATAAATATAAGGGATATAATGATTATAATAAGTACTAAGCAAAAGTTTATTATAAATAAAGGCGTTATCGCCCCAAGAAAAATGATGTTTCGTTTGCTTCACTAATAACCAAGTCTCAAATTTATCAAATACATTGCCCATAATATTATATAAAAATACTATTGCACGAATACACTTTTTGAACCCTTAAAGTTACAATTTGTCGTTCGTTAAGCTCTTGTTCACGTGACCTAGCATTGCTGACTCAGAGTAACCGAAGCCTTAAATCACCCACCAGCCAAATCTAACACACCTCTTTCATAAGGTTACTACCCGCAGGTTACACGAGTTCTTGGATTGTGGAGCGACCGAGTCGCAGTCTGTTAGGTCATCACATTTTTGGTAGTGACTGTGAGATCTGAAAATAAAGTAACGATGTTCGCTACCCCCCCTGATTCGAAAAATTGTATAAGCACAAACAAACCTGAATAAACAAGAAACTTACTTAAACCCAAGTCCAAGAAGTTATATCAGCACACACTGGAAAGGTTTCTTGCACCATTTAATTCAATCACCATGAACGCCACCCAACTTAAAGAGTTGATAGAAAGCATGACCAAGTTGTTCGAAGATGCAGCCAAGGACATCGATAAAGAAAATGGGTCCGGGTCTAAAGAAACGAACTATGTAAAGGTTAGGAGTTTTAGCGGAAATGATGATGATGACCCAATAGAGTAGTTTGATGATTTTGAATATGCTGCAGAAGCAAACAACTGGTCAGATGAAAGAAGACTCAAAATAGCTTCTGGATATCTAAAAGGGATAGCAGCAGAATGGTACAAGGATAATAGAGCAAACATCAATGACTGGAAAGACAAGGATAATCAAGACTGCAGTTTCTACCACTTGTTGGTCACTTACTTTGCCACCCCAGAAAAACAACACAAGTGGCAGATCCAGTTGAACAACCTCGCCTAACTCAAAAACGAAAAGGTGGATACCTACGCCATCAAGTTTAAGAAGCTCCTAAGTCAGGTAGACCCAGAAGAGTTATTACCCGCCTAATATATTGTACAAATGTTTTTAAGTGGATTGAAAGAAAAAACAGCAATCTTCATAGTAGTCACCTCTCCAGAGAACCTTAATTAAGCAATTGTGGTAGCAAGAAAGGTAGAAGCAGGCAAATACTATGGTGCTTACACATCTGAAGCTACAGTAATCTCTGATAAAAAGGATAAAATAATTGAAGCATTAGTCAAGCAAGTGCAGCAACTATTAGTTAACTACGTCACAGTGAATAATTAGCAAGAAAAGGATACATGTGAAAGAGAAAAATATAGGGAGAACCCTAAGCCCAGGAAAGAAATCATTTGTTATAGGTGTGGTGAAAAAGGACACATAGCTCACTTTTGTATGTCAGAAAGAAGACCTAAGAAGCCTAGCAAAGTAGAAAGACCACATACGGAAAATGTTAGTAAAGTAAACTACTGCAAAAATGAGTTATATGCGGTGAACAAAAAAAAGCAACAAGTACAATCAGATATCCCCGAGAAAAGGCCTAAATTGCAACTGGAACTGAAGTGAGAAAATAGACTTTGGCCCTGGGAAGAAAACAAACTGCTTTAAGTAGACGTGGGAGACCAATTACAGCTGATCGAGTTAGAGGAATCACAAATGGTTAAGAAAATAAGGCGAAAACGGGAGCCTTCAGTAATAGACAAATTAATCCCATATAATGTAGTAGATGATATATTATCCCTACCAGTTAAAGCTACAGTAGGGCAAATACTACAATACACGAACCAAAGAAGAAACCTGGCTTAAGCCTTACGCTGACCCCTTGTAGCTCGAGAACCCCAGGAAACCCAAATAGCCCAGGGAGCTCAGGAAACTTACGTAGTAAACTTTAGTGATAACCTCAGAACCACGGCTGCCCAATGTTATGTTAGGATCAAAGAGAACTCCATATAAGCAGTATTGAACTCAGGTGCAGCTATGAGTATAATTATAGAAACTCATAGACAAGTTAAAATTGAAAATAGACAAACCTTCATCAACAGTGCTACCAGAACCAGAACGCATGCATTAGGCCAAATTGAAGACGTAAAGCTAGCTAGTCTGTGGGCTTCACCATAGTCATGGTCCCAAAGAAAGGTGGGAAGCTACGCCTTTGTATAGATTATAGGAAGTTAAATGAGGTTACGAGACAGGATGCATACCTACTGCCAAGAATAGACGACCTATTGGAGACCTTTAGTACTGCAAGTTGGTTTACTAGTTTAGATCTAAAGAGCAGATAATGGCAGGTGAGAGTCAAAGAAGAAGACAAGGAGAAGACAGCCTTTATAATGCAGGGTGGACTTCACGAGTTTAAAGTTATGCCATTTGGCTTGTCAAATACACCAGCCACCTTCCAGCGCCTAATGTACTGTGTTTTGGAGGAGTATATTGGGAGGTTCATGGTTGTGTATATCGATGATATCAATGTATATTTAAGGACGTTCGACAAACATTTGGGGCATCTAAAGAAAGTATTTGATAAGTTGGCCAAAGTGGGATTAAAAATTAATATTGAGAAATGCAATTTCTTTAAACTCACCATTTATTTCCTTGGATACATAATTGGATGACAAGGAATACGATCTGATGAAAGTAAAGTGGAAAAAGTGAGAAATTATCCAATACCAGATACACTATGCTAGTTAAGGGGGTTCATCGGCCTTGCGTTATACTAGGGTTCCTCAAAGTCAAATCGAATCAAATATTTTGTCAATTTGAATTTGATTTGATTTGAAATTTCTATATTTG